ACCCTAAAATAACTCGGGATGCAGAGAAGGTGACAGGGCTAGTCTACCGGGACTCCCGCCTGATCGGGAATGGCGTAGCCTTCCAGTTTTGGAGTTTAGCATCTGGTCCCATATAGAGCACCTCAGCGGTGCTAGTCCCTTCCCCCGGCTGAACCATGTTGGTTTGATAAAGCATTTGTCTCATAGCTCCACATATATCTTCAATTTCCTCAGCTGTGAACACCTCATCGTCCTCTTCTTTGCCATGCTTGGCCTTGACAAAAGTATCATAGAGACGTGGTAATGGTTGTTGCAGAACCCATCCTTCTTTCTTTCTTTCCTCGACCCATTTCTGATCATCTGGGGTAGGGTGGAAGCCTATCCCGAAAAACTTTTCTGTTGTGGGTAGAGTTACTGGCTCGGATATTCCTTGTAAAGCTTTTCCTAACCCTTTTCCTGGTTTGAAACCGTATCTAATCATCTCTTTGGCCACCATGATTGAAGCATTAGACAGGAAAGGTTGAGGACAAAGATTTCCCTCCTCGTGCTGATCTGCCACCACAATTTCAAAGGCTTGATAAACAATATGCTCACTTCCTTCCCTCGCCTCCAGACATGGGATAGATGGATCACGATAAATGGACTGCTCGTCTTCTTCGCGGACCACGATTTCCTGGTCTTCATTCTCGAATTTTACCATTTGGTGGAGGGTAGAGGGCACAGCTCCTGCAACATGGATCTAGGGCATTCCCAGAAGAAAATTATAAGATGTGTCCATGTCCAACACCTGGAATGTTACCTAGAACTCTACCGGACCTATGGTCAATATCAAATCAATTTCACCGATGGTATCCCTCTTAATACCATCAAAAGCTCTCACACAAACATTATTCGGACGAATCCTTCCTGTCCCAATTTCCATTCTTTGCAATGTGGAGAGCGGGCATATGTCAACTCCCGAGCCTCCATCCACCATGACTCGCTTGACATAATAACCTTCACACTTGACAGTAAGATACAAGGCTTTGTTGTGAGCTGCACCTTCCGGAGGCAAGTCATTTTTACTAAAAGAGAGTTGATTGATGGCGAAGAACCTTTCTGCCATCCTTTCTAGCTGCTCGACTGAAGTTTCAATTGGCACGTAGGCCTCATTCAAAGTTTTCATCAAGATCTTCTGATGTTCTGAGGATTTCGTCACCATGGATAGCAGAGACACCTGTTCAGGATATTTCCTTAATTGATCCACTGTTTCATAATCAGGCATCTTCATTTTCTGGAAGAAAGCTTCTGCTTCCTCAGCACTCACTGGCTTCTTGGACGGAAAATGCTTTCGAGCGGCATTGTTTACCTCCTGTACATTCGAATATTTCTCAACAGAGGTTTTCCCTGGAAGTTTCCCCGAAATTTCTTTGCCCTTGTATGTGACCACTGTTTGCTGATAGTTCCATGGCACTGCAGAGGGGTCTGTCATTGGCTTCTGTGGTACGCGTCCAATAACNTTACAAGATGTGTACCTGAAGGTCAAACAAATGAGAGAAATGGTCAGCAAAGCCACAACAGCAGACAGGATTCAGTGAGCAACCACAAACTTGAACTCAACCAGAAATAATTCCACTCCAGTAGATTTTTTCACCAAATCAGACAGAAAACTACTCAAAGTGACTTGAATAACACCAAATGAAGATGAACATATACTCAAAACACACTATGAAACTTCAGCAGCTGATCACAAGGAATTTTCTGCTATTCTTCAGGTTTATCTAGGCTAGAGGTTCGAGACAATTGCTGAAACACTGGAAGATCTAAAGAACTAAATGTAACAGTATTTTGTTTTGGATTTTTCTTTGTATTTTTGTTTGTTTTTTTTTTCTTCGGATTTTTGAAGACTAAAAGTGAAGGTTTCTATTGCTATATCATTCCAGATCTGAACCTCTTTAGTTTTTGAGATTCAAATTTTAAATTCAGACTCGAAAAAAGGGATTTTGAAGGGAAATTAGGAGCTAGAGAGTTCTGGGAATTTTCAGAGATGTAAAACTTTTTGGGAATTTTTTTTTCCAGATTCTTCAAACTTGTTTAACAAGGCAATGGGCATGCCTTTTTATAGGCAAAGCCTAGGGCTGCCTTCAGATTTCTATTTACACCTAAGTCCCTCTTTTATTTACAAATTTTGGCTATTTGGCCCTTTGTTTATTGGCTTGTTTCTCAAGTTACACTACTAAATTCCTAAAATTCTAATTGGAACCCCATCTAGAATGTTCTACGGGTTTCCAATTTGGTTACTTGCAGGATTTCTCTTATTGAATTACCTATATTGCCCCCTAATTTGACTTAGAACTGCTAACCTAGTTAAACTAAAACCAGACCCTGGTTAATTAATCAAAGAGTTGCAGTGATCAGCTATAATCAGAATCAATTCTAATTGAACCAACATCCTAAGGCTAAATTTATTATTAAACTAATAAAACCAGTAAACTAATAGCTAAAATCGAACAAATAGAGCTGAAACTACACTGGAAGAATATCAAAATCAAAAAAATGCGCAGTAGTTAAACATGGAATCATACGGTTGAAATCAAATCAAATGACAAAAAAAATGTAATAAAAAACAATCAGACCCTAAATCGATCCTAAAAAGAGAAGAAATACCAAAGATGAATGAAAGCAAAACAAAATCAGAAGGCTAATGCTTAAAAGGGAACATTTACAGATAAACAAAGAAATTTAAGAACACTCACTGATTAAACTTGAAACTCCTCTTGATGTTCTGATTCAGATGAAATTGATGCTAATCACTTATTCTCCGTTAATAACGAACGAACATCATCAATTTGTAGTGAATCAACTCCTGAATCGCGAAGAACAATGGCTTGGGTCGATTAATTGAACTGCTGAAGCTCGAACTCAGATTTTCGATTTGAATGATTCTGGATAGTTTCGAAGGAAACTAGTGACATATTAAGCGTGAGGGAGACGATGGAGGGGGGTAGGGGCGTCTTTGGACAGTTATATATCTGGGATAGGTGAGTTGCGGTCCGTTGGATCAACAAAACATAGACGGCTAGGATTTGTTTAAATCAAAACGACGGCGTTTCGATGGCTGGGGAGCCGGACCGGGTCAGAGACTGGTTTTGGGCTTGTGACCGGATTTCCTTGGGGGTTTGGCTTGGACTGGTTCAATGTCTTTTAAAAGACTGGGCCATTAATTAATTAACAATAAACAACCCAATCTGCCTTGCTCCTCTTCTTATTCTCTTTTCTTTATTTATTTTCTTTTATTCTTTTTTTTTCTATTTTAAAAACTGAACTAAAATTGAACCTTAAAAATTAACTCAAACTACCTAATTAAGCGACAATTAACCTAATACCGATTTAAGGAAATTAACAAGCCTAAAACTAAAACAAATCAAATTTTTCTTTGTATTGTGCAAAGCCTAATTACTAATTAATCAAAAATATGCAAAATTAAATCCTAAATGCTCATGCAATATTTTTATATTTTTTTATGAATTACCATGCATACACAAATAAAAATACACACAAAATTACGCAATTAAATCCTAAAAATCAAGTAATAAAAGAAAAATCCTAATTTNTTACGCAATTAAAATCCTAAAAACTCAACGTAATAAAAGAAAAATCCTAATTTCAAGAATTCTATAGGAGTAATTCAAGCGAGGCAAAAATCACATACTCACAGCTGCCCCTCTTAGCTCGGAGACACGAAGGGTTTTCGGGCAAAGATAAATGAGCAAACATGAGATTTTTGCCTGCTTGGCACTCCATGAGAAGCATTTTTGAAACCGTCTGACCGAACCCTGCTTCAAAGGTTGCCTACATATCCTTGGCTATAAAGGAATCAGGTCAGTGTAGTTCTGGAAGATTTGGTAGCTGGGACTACCAGGAGCTGTGATTTCACTGCCGTTGCTGCTGCTACTGCTTGCTGACCTCCTTATTACACCAAAAAGGAAAATCAAAGCTAAGCTAGCTATGCCTAACAACTATGAGTTACAAGATTCCTATTTATAAATCTCTTGAAGCTTGATCTTGAGTCTTAGCTGATTTTGCTGTGGACTCCGATCTGAATCTTGATGCTCGCAAGTTGTAGATGTTGTTACTTTCTGCAGCATTGGGTCAAAGCGGGATCGGCGGAGCTTGTGGCTTCAATCAGATTTTGAGAAACTCGCACCCTTGCTTGCTTCACATTTGAGTTCATTTCTTTTGTGCTTTTCTTCTTTTCTTTATTCTGGATTGAGACTCATTCCCTCGGTCGTCTCGCACCCATGTGCCTCGGTGTTAGACCTACTTAAGACACCAAAACAAACAAACGAACAAAATTTTTTGCCCCAGTTTTCACTAGGAAAATTTCGTGAGTTAGTTGTGATCAAATCAGGATTGTGTAGGGAGATCCTCGGTTTTTGGCTAGGATTTGGAAAGAAAAGGCTCCTCGGTTGTTTTGGCCGGGAGATCCTTGGTTTTTTGGCCGGGATTTGTGAAGAAAAGGCTCTTCGGTTTTTTGGCCGGGAGATCCTCGGTTTTTGGCCGGGATTTGGAAAGAAAAAGCTCCTCGGTTTTTTGGCCGGGAGATCCTAGGCTTTTTGGCCGGGATTTGGAAAGAAAAGGCTTCTCGATTTTTGGCAGGGAGATCCTCGGTTTTTTTTCCGGGATTTGGAAAGAAAAAGCTCCTCGGTTTTTTGGCCAGGAGATCCTCAGTTTTTTGGCCGGGATTTGGAAAGAAAAAAGCTCCTCGATTTTTTGGCCGGGATTAGGAAAGAAAAAGCTCCTTGGTCTTTGGTCGGGAGATCCTCGGTTTTTGGCCGGGATTTGGAAAGAAAAGGCTCCTCGATTTTTTGGCCGGGAGATCCTCGATTTTTTGGCCGGGGTTTTGAAAGAAAAAGCTCCTCAGTGTTTTGGCCGGGAGATCCTCGATTTTTTTTGGCCGGGATTTGAAAAGAAAAGGCTTTTCGATTTTTGGCCGGGAGATCCTCGGTTTTTTTTTTGGCCGGGATTTGGAAAGAAAAAGCTCCTCGGTTTTTTNCTATCTCCCAAACCTAACTGCCCGTGGCTGTTGCCACCCCAAGAATAACAAACAAGATTACTCCCTTTGTAACCTTCCCCAGCAGTGACTAATGCGACAACATGCTCATTTCCACATGCCACCTTAACAACTGTGTGTCCATGGAAATTCCAGACAGGTATTGGATTACAACTGCTAGTAAGAGAGAATTCATTTTCAGTAGACTTGCTTTTCTGTGGTTCAGGAAAGTTTCCCCACAGCCATAGAGATCCAAGATTGTCTATTGCCGCTGACATCATTCCACCACCTTTAACTGAAGAAATCTACAGGAGAAAACAGAAAGATTAACCACTGTCATCAACCTGTTTCTTCTTTAAATTGATCAACTTGTTTCTTACCATCAGTTTCTTTCTCTCTGAGCCACTAGCTGATGAATTAGGAGAACCTAACTCAAGGAATCCCTCCAATAAATGAGGAACCAAAGAATTTTCTCCATTGAAACCAAGTTGTCCATCCATTTAAAAGTCAAGGAAAAGAATGATTAATAACACATGCACAAGATAATTGCAAATTCAATACGTTAAAGCTAATAATACTGAATGGTCACCATATAAACTATAAAGTGCGATGTAATTGCAAAGGAATCCTCTCAAGGATACAGACATTGTATCCCCAGCCCCATACTGATCCATCATCTGCAAAAACAAAGAAATGCCAAATAAAATAAAAGGAAAATGGTGTCTGGGAAATCATGATAGATTAACAATTTTCCTTGTAAACAGCACTATTTCTCTTGTTAGTATCAGTGTTCTTAATAAGCCAAATTGCAATGACCTGAATCTTATTGTTGCCTTCCATATTAGCACAAATCTTATGGTTCCACAATTTTAGCATTTTGGAAGAAGCAAGCAAATAATCAGAAGATCAGGGCAAAGTGTTCTAAGAAAATTATCACTTATAATATAAATGCTCTCAATCCCTCACTATACTACTGTTGAGCATTCACAGAGATCCTACCTGCTGGTAGCTGCCGAAAACAATGATAGGGAATCATTGCAAACAGCAAGACACTTGAGAGCCAAAAACTGTGTTTCCCTATTCCTTTTTCCTTGACTGCTCTAGTCATTCTAAACACAACAGGAAGCATCCTCTGGTGTTACTTCAATTAAGATCACCTTATCTTCACTATGACAAGATCTGATTTCGAATTATCCACGCTTAGTTTGACCTTAAAAGAGGAGTGAACTGTGGTGGTTGAATCCTCCAATAGGGGTCATAGGCCATACCAAATTACCTAATATGTAGGTCTTTTCAATTTTGTGGAACACAAGTGAATTTGCAGTTTCCTACCTAATCTAAAAACACAATTCAGTAGACAAGGCTTCTCTAGGTGAAATATAATATTCATTGAAGAGAGCTTGAGATAGTTCTCCTCCTGTCCCGTTTTATGTGATGCATTTTCTATTTTAGTCTGTCCAGAAAAAACTGATACTTTTCTATATTTAGAAAGAATTTAACTTTAAACTTCTCATTTTACCCTTAATGAGATGATTTATAGGCACACCGATATGTATAGCTTATCTGAGACCACAAGTTTCAAAAGTCTTTTTTACTTTCTTCAACTCCATGCTTAGACAAACTACATCACATAAAATGGGAAAAAGGGAGTAATGTATTTTCTAAGATAGAAAAGACTCAATCTATACTTCACGCTAGAGCTTATTTCCAGTACAGCATTTAATCTGACAATATATTGGCAGTGTTTATTACACATGAATCTAAACATAATTCCAATTCAACATCCTTTCTACATTAAGCTATACTGGAACTAATACTATTAAGCATAAATTCTTATAATTCTAAAATTGTCCAAAGAGTTCCACAGTCCAGTTATACAATCCTTAGTTGATTACATGCTATAATAAGGTTCTAATTAATTACAAGTCCAAATAAACAAAGGAAGAGAAGCTAAATCAGCACTTCATTTCATTTCAACAGCCTGGAATTACAAGATGTGTACCTGAAGGTCAAACAAATGAGAGAAATGGTCAGCAAAGCCACAACAGCAGACAGGATTCAGTGAGCAACCACAA